ATAGCTATAGTAAGGACTAGTAAAAGAATTGTGGATTTACTCGACCTTTGAGAATTAAAAGAATAAAGATTTGAGCAATTTCCAGTAACCTTTGCAGCAAGAGGTTATGGGGGATTCTTTCTTAATGGCCCTCTTACCAGCTTTAGAATGTTCTTTGACATCAAGGCCTTTGAAATCAAGTCACCACCTTCCTCGCTTTGTACCTGTCAGTACTGCACTACACAAGGTAGAGCCATTTTCATGCATTTTTCCTTCTTTGCTAGTTTTGGATAAATGAAATGAAAGCTGAAAAAAGGGGTGTGGTAATATATTAAGAAGGATCACAAAAGGGAGCTGAAAATCCAGCTATTAAAAAAGACAAGCTATGAATTCCAAACCAGGATAAACTACATGCAGACCTAATGTTCATGGCTGGTTATCTTCTAAATCACTGAACATTACCTAGAATAATTTAGGTTCTTAGAAAAGACTTGGTGAATGAGTTCATGGATAAGTTCACTCCCCCATATCAGCAAACCTATTTATAGAAACTGGATCTAGGACACTCTTCCCTTTCCACCTGCAAATCCTCACATCACACCAACACTAAGGAGAGAAAAAGAAAACTCCATACTGTCCCCACTTGATAAAGAGGTCAGCATTATCTTTAGAAGTTATTCTACCAACTCTGGAGACCCCCATCTCTAAGGCACCATTTACCACACGCATAAACCGTTTAGCTGCTGGGACCTGGGAAAACAGTGCTAGACTAGCAAGGAGGAAGAGAAAAGAGGTATGGAAGACGTACATCCTTGTCCCACCCAAAATGAATGGAACGCTTTAGAGGGACACAGTGAAAAGCAACTCGGGGTTCAATCTGAGATGTGATGTGTACTTGCACATCACAGCCATGTGATCCAACCACCTAAAGCATCTATGCAGGCGGAGCAAGGAAGATAACCCTGTAACTGGGAGTTCCACTGACTGCTGCTCCCACACCAGTGGTCCAACTTCTCTGCTCCATCCTTTTCTCCACACCCCTGCCTCTCTCCCTCCTTTCCCTATAACTCCCATGTTTGTACATAAGTGACTTCAGACGCTTCAGTCTGACCCTTCTCCAATCTATGTCCTTAAGTCTTCTGCCCCGACTCATTGACAATTTAACTGTCTTTTTCACATGTGCCTGATCATGAAATAATATCAAAGCTGGTATATTCAATCCTGAAATGCTTTTCTGCTCTGCTGTCCCATAATGTTGAGTGATGGGTGCTCAGGGCACCAGAATGGCTTCCTTTCTTACAAGCTCAATCTGGTCTCCTAATTCTCTGTCTTTTTAAAACTAAAGCCAATACCTTCGTGTTCTTGTATCATAAAAAAATTGGGTGTGTTCTCTCTAACCTTCTGGTCAAATAAGAGTGGAACTTTCCTACTTATCTTAAGTAGGCATATTTGAACTGCTCAAATATTGTAATTAAATATTTTTACCATTTTTCTAGAAATTCAGCATGTTTGAAAGAAATGTTATAATACAGCTTTGATAAATTAGTAAATAAAAAAGGTTCATGAGTATCACTATGATAATTAACATTAAAGATGTTGGTGGTCACTCCTGAGTCTGTATTTTTCCTGACAATGCTTTAGAACTCCTTGTTCATTGAGCCTTTTTTGATGTTTTTGTCGTTGTTTATATGTCAACCAACTACGTTTTGTATGTCTATACAACATAAAGGACAGGAACCACACCCAAAGTTATCTATGGTTTGCTTACTTCCCTGAGCATGATTTTGGTGAGATTCATCTCTCTTGGTGAACATGGTGATGACCCCTCCCTTCTCAAGAACACTGTTTCCTCCTGTATGAATGAGCCCTGTCCTACTCTTGAATTTCTGGGTGGTTCCCAAATATTGCTACTATCATCACTGTTGTTATAAACATGGATTTTCTGACACATGTGCACAATCAATAAAATATCAGAGAACAGAATTATTATGTGGTTCTTTAACCAGCTAATGTATCATATTCCAAAACAGGTATGATGGTTCCTCTCTCCTTCAGTTGGGCACCAGAAAATGCTTTTTCTCTGTGGTTGAGTATTCAAATGTACTATACTTCATACGAAGTGGATATCTAGTAAAGTTGGGCAGGATATTGGAGTGGGTCACCACCTAGCAGGTAGGGGGTTATTTAACTAGAGATATGTTTTATTTCACTGACTACTAAGGCCAGACATACAAGGTGAGCAATCTGTTTTCCAAGACATTCACCATAGAGTTTGCTACCAGAGAGTGCTTTTGAAATGTCATCAGCTAAGTCACACCAATATATTTTACCATTAAGTGTGAAAACAATACAGCCAATTTTATCGATTTAATTTCATCAATAGTTAGGAAATCCCTACTTTAAAGCTAACAAACATTTTTAAAGTCCTATCTACAAACAGTATCACTTATCCAGAATATGATCTCTAACTACCTCAATGCTAGGCTGGAAGACTATGGAAAGAAGGAAAGGATAAAGCACAAAGGAGCTTTTTAGATACATATGCAATGGTCATGTCCCATACTTTAAGGCCTATAGAGGTTCATGCTTCCCCAGATTTTACTTAACATCCATACTTAACACCATGAGACACATACAGAGCTGGAGGCCTTAGAAAGGCCAGAAGACTTTATAATGCATGGTAACCCCATGTGGGGATATCCTGAAGGCAATGTCCATGTCCAAGTGTCCCATGGGGAAGAATTAGGAAATCTGTCAAAGGCACTGAAAGAAGATCCCTCATCCATACAGAGTTACTAGTGAAGAACAGAAGTCAGTATTAATGATGAGCATATAGTGACACTCCTTGCCATGAAATCCTGACAATGTCAAGCACAGCAGGATTTCTGGTTTTTAAGTTTGCTTTTCTTTTAACATTAAATAGATCAACTCCTTTATATTAGAATTCTGACAATCTATTATGCACATTAGGGTTTCTACATTTTCAAGTTTGATTTTTTAGTATTAAATAGATCAACTCTATCTTTATATTATATAAAATATAGTACTTATAGATCTTGATAAGCTGTGAATAAAGCATAAAAGGAACTTTTATGAGGCTGATGCACTACCTACTGTGCTAATGAGGCTCCCTAAAGGAGCTTTTCAGACATATTTGACATATTTTAAGGCAAATTCTAAAATATAACTAATATGCTTAATTTCACCATTGTCATTTTAAAACTACCCTTTCAAAACTCAAAATAAGGTAGACCATATGACCTAGCCCATTACATCAATATGTTCTTCAAAGATAAAAAAATCATTATTTTTTAAATCAACAGACCATGCTTCAAGATTCCACCATGAGAGGCACATGAGGAAATTAAGAGCCCAACAGCCTTTCCTCTGACCACCAACAGAATCTTTCACCATTCCTTTTCCAATCCCCCAGAGGGTCTCCTTTACTGACCTAGAAAAGTAAATGGGCATAGCAAATCCAAGTGATATAATAGGGGAAAAGCCTCCCCAAACGTTTCCAAACTGATGCTAAAACCCCTCCATCAATGCAACAATGGTTTGACAGTTTAGCGTCATGCTCTGTGGTAAACATTCAGACAAGTCTTCTCTAAACACAACATAAATCTTCTCTTCTATGACACATATCAAAATACCTGATGAGTTAAAGAAACTACAAACCCTGATACCATAAGTCAAGAAGGGAGCCCCCTTTCCTTCCAGCTCTGACAGCTTAAGCCACGTGTGAAATACATTGCCCCATTTCAAGGTCTGTATCACTTCCATCCCTTTCTGGAGATATGGGTCACAGTGGATTTTATACTTAAAACTAGCAGAAAACATTAGACAGGTGTCTGTGCAAGGTGCCCAATGGGTTCCTTAGTGGTATAACAAATCCTTTAATAAATAAGTGTTCAAGGATATTTTGTTAATTAACACTTCATAACAAATATAGTCAAGATTAGCTATGCCCAAGAGGAAAGAAAGCCTACATGTGGAATGTGTCATTTCTTTCCTATCATTTCTTATTCTTCTTGTACCATGATCATTTGTCTTTCAGAATATCTATTTTAAAAAAAAGGCTCTGCATCAGATGGCACAAAACATTCTCCTTTGTGTGTCCATGGGACAAGACTTGGGGACCAAGGAACAAGAAACTATGATTCCAAACCCTTCCCTTTTTACTGATATCTGAAAAGTCTGTGAACATTTTTTATATCAAAAAATAGAAATGTTAGTAATACTGATGGTAATAACACCCTGTTCTCAAATGACCATGGGCCAAGCCCTTGAAATATATTATCCCTATACATTCAACAAGGAAATTATCATCATCATCGTCGTCGTGATACATTGTTTGATTACTGCAGATTGAGAGGGAGTGAACCACTAACATAAGATTTTTACAGACTATGATAGCTGTAAACCCAGACTCTTTTGATATACCATACCTAGTCTATGTGGCCATATGAGAAGAATCAAAGCATAGTCACCAGCATATTTAACATAAATCATTATTCTCTTTCTGATACAGCGTCTCTCAGTTTCTAAAGGAAGTAAATAGGTTGAAGATGGACTCTGTCTGAAATTTTGTACAGAATTTGCTAATATATTCAGATTAAGTCATGCAGAAAAGAACCTAGATATCCAGGGGCTGAAACTAGTGCCAAATACTCAGCAAAAGGAAATGGCACCACACATTACTGAGATCAGCTTTGAAAGAAGGAATTGGCTCTGAATCTGCATGTTGGCAACATCACTTGAATCTACCCTTATGTCATCATAAAATCTATGTAAATTTGATCTTCTTCCCATATCACTGAAACCTGTGAGATGCCTCTGCTTAGAAACAATGGCAACTAAGAAAAATGGGGATTGGTTTACAACATTACTCTTTGAGGAAAAACGCCATCAAAGGATGTAGAAATGGAAAAGGAGAAAGTACAGAACAGTACTATAAGCTTTTAGTTAGATTTTTTAGAATTAAACATTCTAAGTAGGAAAAAAATAAGGTTTTTCCTTACCTGACTGGACCACCTTTATCTTCTTTTCCCAAAGTCCATTTGGGAAAGTGTTAAACAAGCAGGAGTAAGTGCCAATGTCTGCTTCAGAGGCGTTGTAAAAGGAAAGACTCATATTGTGGAGCCCCACTGATGAGTTCAGAAAGTGCACTCTATGGAGGTAGTTGGGATCTATATACATACGATAGTTAGGGATGTAAACAATTATTTTCACAGTCTCTGTGCCACTGATCTTGGTCCATTCCACCTGGGTTAAGTTATCCATCATTGGATACACACATTCCAGAGTCATAGTCTCAGAGAGCTGAACAGCTGTGTCCCAAAAGGTCACTTCACACCATGCTAAAATACACATCGCATAAGCTGGGTTAGATCCAATGATGACAAAACCAAATAGATAAATTTTACAAGACTTAACAAATATACTGATAAGTTCATAGTGAGTCCTGACAGTTTCATCTACAAAATTGGCTTTTGTAAATTTCAGTATTTCCAAAAAAGTGAGAAATTACCTATGGGAACCTGTACATGTCACACTCAAACACCAAAAACACAGCAAAACTTTTAAATGAAGACAGGATTGCCTTTACCTTTGTGCACATGAAGAACAGCCAAAAGCAAAGTAAAATAAGCCATCTCTGGAAACAGTTCAGAAGGCTAGCCTGCATATAAAAAAATAATGCATATGATGTTATATTCACAACTCAACACGAAGCACCCCGTTTCCTTCCTCTCAGATGTTATCAGCTGCATCTTGTACTCTGAAGTGTGAGCACAGGAAAAGTTTTAACTTCAAAAGCAGCTTTACTCTCATACAGAGATGGGTAAAGTTCAGTTATTTCTCTGCCACATAATCGGTTTACTTTCAAGAAATAATTTTCAAGGAAGTTTCTTTCAGATGTTTACTGAGTACATCCTCTGTGTCAGACTCAGCTCTGTGCAACAAGAATACACAAAAGCACATCTTAAAAAATAAAATCCTGTGCCATTGTCTTGGGAAGAGGCTGATGCAACACTAAAGGTGTACTAGATATACTAAGTTGAAAGTGGAAAGTACCTGAAGAAAAGTGAAACAAAGCAAGACAGTTGAGCACTTTTGATACAGGCTGGTCCAGGAACTCCTCACTAAGAAGTTGAATGGGGGGATGAGCACTCAATGTTAATGGGAGGAGCCTGCATAGCAGACAACCACTCAGGTGTTGCCTTCTTTGGCTGCATTTCCTGGTTATACTTGATCATATACAAACAGAATAATACCTACAAAAGAATGGTAGTTCAGGACACATAAAAATGTACCATCGTATCTGATGATTTTTTTTCACTTTTTTGTTTTAAAGTAATTATCCAGTGCTAAGAAATTTGATATTCCATTCAAGTCCCCTTGGAAGCTGCACCTTATGAAACTATGATATACCATCAAAATGGAATTTATTTCTAAGATTCATCATTTCTCTTTTCCTTTTCTTATAAAAACAATTCAGAGCTGTGGCAAGATAGTTTAGACAACACAGGTTTTTGCTACACAGGACTAAGGATGAATTAGATTCCCACAATCACATAAAGGTAGGAGAATAGAACTAACTCCATAAAGTCATTCTTGAAGCAACACAGGTGCACTATGGTACCTAAACCCACACACACCATACACACACACACACACACACACACACACACATACACACACACACACAAAATATATATATACTATTATAATATGAATAACTAATGCATTTAAAATAAAATAGCAGTTCTAATTCTTGAAACTTGATGAGAGGTTTTCAATGTGACAATATAAAAAATCCAAATTATACCTTCATAAAAAGAAGAATTGTATTGCACTTTGCCCTATTAGCAGACACAGTGCAATGTGGACATTATAACCAAGGTCATTTCTCATTCTCTCTGTGATATGAGATCTCTCTGCACGTTGAGCAGTTGATATCCACTGATAATTCTTTATATTGAATCACATTTGAAGTTCACAGGCAAAATTATCTTTCACCCTTTATTTTAACAATAAATATTATTCTATTTGGTTTTATGACAGTCAAAACAGGAAGCTTCATTTTAATATATTTGGAGAATATTTCATATAAAATGTGAAGAAATAAAGATGTGTCTGTTAGTGTTCAGGCATCTGTACTGGCCTGTCCTTGGGGTTCTGACAAGATACTCCCTCAGCTGCAGCCACTAAGAGCATCACCTGTGCACATTCACTGTTCCTTTTTAAAAGTACCCTGCCCACCTCCCATCCCTCTCTCTCTTGTTCTCCCTCTCTCTCTTGTTCTCCCTCTCTCTATTTGTTTCTCTCTCTGCTTCTCTGCCTGTCTTTCTGTCTCTGCTTCTCTTCCCCCCTCTTCTCTTCTGCTGCTCCTGTCCCACAGGTGGGGCTCCCCTCTCCCCACCCCCTTTTCCCATTCACTTTCCCCAATAAAACCCATTCCCTCCCCAAGTTCTGTAACATGGTATCTTTCTCTCAAGTGCTGCTTTTTTGTTTGTTTTATTGTTTTTGTTTTTCGAGAGAGGGTTTCCCTGTATTGTTTTGGAGGCTGTCCTGGCACTCACTCTGTAGACCAGGCTGACCTCGAACTCACAGAAATCCACCTGCCTCTGCCTCCCAAGTACTGGGATTAAAGGTTACCAATGCCCGGATCAAGTACTGCTTTTTAAAATCACAGCAGTGTCCACATGGGGCATATTCAGGAAATGATGTAAGTATAGACCATGGATGGGGTGAGAGTATAACCAGGAGGCATATGTGAGTATAATAGAGAAGGGACTCCTACAATAGAAAGGTATTGAAAAAACATTAATAAATGCATATTTGCAAAATGTCTTCACTGTCATGATGAAAGACATCATCATGAGGGTGTTCAGAAGACTGAGTATCCAGAACTGACAGCCCAGTAGAAGCCTCCTATAGGGGAATGATAAGGAAAAGATCTGCCCAGCTGTGTAATGAGACCTGTAGAAGCGGGAGCACTAGCTGTGTAACTACTGAGATGGATTGCAGGAATGAGCACTCATGCAGACATGAGAGCAGGTGTACCAAGACAGGAGCTGAGGATTTTCAACCTTGTTGCAGCTGTGGCTAATAGAGGGGAAATAAAGGCAGAAAATGATGGGAGGTGACACATTATAGACAGAAGGGATAAGGATTTGTCTACTCTGGGTAATTGCTTTGAATTAATAGAAGGATAACTAAATGCCACCCACTTCCCTTTCCATGGTTCTTGAGAAATTTCACTTTGTTCAAATTTGATTCCTTTCTCTACACCACAAGATTATGGATCTAAGTTGTTCTGCTTGGTTGATCTGAAAGTTTGGAAAAGACAGTCAAAGCCTAAGCTGACCCAATTTGAGTACAGGAGATTATTTACAGTCTACGCCAGAGAAAGCTTTCCTCTTTCCACCCTTCCTTGAAAGTGAACAAGAAAGAATATTGTGTGGCCACCACACTGCCCCAGGTAGCTATCTAGAAAACCAGTCTGGGGACAACTGTCAGAAGATGGAACAAGCTTGCATCTAGAATCATTGAACCACTGAATCCATCAACTGTAGCATCAAAGCATATTGTATTTTATAAGAGGTCCCTATTACTTCTGTCCACGTATATCTAAACTAGTACAATTTTTTCCAGCTGTGCTGTGAAAACAAGATTGTGAATTAGCAAACACAGATATACAAATTTTAGAACCTCTTTACCGGCATCTAAACAAGATGGAATGGTGGCCAGAACTTGGATGATTTCCCTTGCAGATTGAGATAAATTAGCTGGCTGCAGAGAGATGTTATCCCAGAGACACAGCAATAAGAGGCATCCTTAACTCCATGTGATCTAGGCTGAATGCAGCCAGGAAAATATACCTCACCATTCAGTAGAAGGTGCTTTTACAAAAATAAATGACTAGAGAATTTTACATATAATATAAATACAATAAAACAAATGGAGTGAGAAAATGACTCAAAGAGAACCTTTGGAAAGGATGGAAAGGATCTGTTCCTGTAATAAACATTAAAGCACTCAGGAAGAGGGCTGCCCACTATGGAGGGTGTTGGTTAAAACTGGAATTTTGAAGGAGCGGAAACTCATTCAGAGATATTGTAAAAGGTCAAAGAATAAATCCATCAAGGAAAAAAAGGTAAAGAACATATAAAGAAACTGATGACCTGAAAATTAAAACTGCCAATAGTGAAAGATGCTTAAGAAACACCCACAGCTAACATCATACTCAATGGGAAGTCCCTCTCTGAGAGCAAGACAAGACAAAGAAGCTTTCTTTCATTCCTGTTATTCATATTGCTCTCCAGGCTTTACCCAGAGGAAATAAATAAGAAGAAATAAAAGGCACCTACATGGCCAAGCAAGAACTAATCCTGTCCCCTGCACAGTGATTGCATGATTTTGTGTATTAACAGATTAAAACATCTACCCAATACTATTTAGATAACAAAGAAAAATTGCATGATAGAAAATGAACATTTGGAGATCTTTTATATCTGTTATTTACTAACAATGAACCACATGAAAAGAACATTTAAAAAACAATTCTACTTATAATCCTAAAAGTAAACTACATCTGAATAAATTCAACCAAGTAGGTGAATCAATACTTTACATTGAAAACAACAAATATTGCTAGTTTTTAAAAGGCCTAAAAATAAAAAGGCAATATGCAAGAAATGTATCTAGAATATATACATGTTCGTAAATAGGAATTTTAATAATGTTACAAAGACAATATTTCTCAATTAAATCCGTAGCCTAAGTGGCCCTTAATAAAATTTAAATGGTCTTTTGTTAAAAATGAAAAATCTCATCCTGAAATTCATATGGCACTGTGAGGAGTCTTGAACAGCTAATATTTGCCTGAAAAGAAAAAGTGGAATGATTCCTACATCCAATTGTAAAACTTAGTACATAGCTAATAGTCAAAATCTTGATATTGGCATAAGAACAGACACATGAACAAATGACATAAAAGTGATAATTTAAAAAAACTGGGCAGTTAAAAGGTGGTATGGACACCATCAAAGTACAATGAAAACTTCCTGAAATATATGCAGGCATCCTAATGAAGTCTTGAAATAATGAGAAAGACGGAGTCCCAATGGGCCATTACTTGTAACCAAACCAAACTTCTAATACCAGGCCTGGGTTATACCCAGTTGATTTGTTGACCAAAGGAATCATATGGAAATCACCAAGCAACCCAAGAGATTGCTAAGATAGCAGTTTCTCTAAGCAAATGGATAGCAAAACCTAATTAAGAAAAACACCTACAAAAACCCATTGAACACAGACTTGTCAAGCTGGGTCTACAAAGAACTTTAACTCCCATCTTCCTGTGGTTTTTGGTCTGAGAGGCACTCTGCAGGCTAAGAAAAGAGAAATATAAACCCATCACAAAACCTTTGAGTTACGATTTGTCCTGCCCCCCAAAAATATGTAATGATTACAAGATTTAGGGAAGTAACTAACTAGTATCTGATTTGACTTAATGCCCGTTTTACAAGAAGCCCATACCCAGCCCAGCTTGGATGACTAAGAATCAGAGACCAGATAGCCCAGAGACCTAGGGTAAAAGAAAATACTATGTCTTGAGACCTTTTAAGAAACAATAAAATGACTCCTAATGATATCTCTATTCAGAGACCTGTGCCTCATTCAGCCATCATTAAAGACACTTACTTCATCCTATAGCAGATGGGAACAAATACAGAGACTCATTAAGGCCAGACATTATGCAGAGAGAGAAAGAGTGATGGAGAGAGGAAGGATGGGAGGGAGGAAGGATGGGTGAGAGGGTGGGAGGGAGGGGGGAGAGAGAGGGAAGAAAGGAGGGGGAGGGGGAGAGGAAGAAAGAGAGAGGGAGGGAGGGAGGGAAGGAGAGAGAAAGGGAGGGAGGGGGAGGGAGAAGGAGAGGGAGAAATGGGATGTTTCCATCAAATTCCTTCCTTCAAAACACAGAGAACCCTGTAAAAGAGGAGGCAGAAAGTATAAGAACCAGAGGGGATGGAGAACACCAAGAAAATAAGCCTTCTAAATCAACTAAGCAAAGCTCACACAAACTCACAGAGACTGAAGCAGCAAGAACAGGACCCACATGAATCTGGGTCAAGTATGTATGTATGTATGTATGTATGTATGTATGTATGTATGTATGTATGTATAAAATAGCTTTCAGTTTGGTGTTTTGATGGGACTCCTGAGTGAGTGAACAAGTTGGGCTCTGGTTTCTCTCGGGGCTCTTTGCCTTCCGTTGGTTTGCATTGTCCAACTTTGATGTGTTATTTTTTTGTTTTGTCTTATATTTTATTTTGTTATGAAACTACTTCAAACTTCAAAAACAACTCAAACAATATATCTATAGTCAATTGATTTTCAACAACGAATCAACACAAATCAGTGAGAGAAAGTACAGTCTTCAGAGAATGGTGCTAGAACAATTGATAGTCACATTAAATTAGATTTTTTACTTATCACCCCACACAAGAACTATATTAAATGAACTGACCTAAATATAAGAGCTGCATGGCCTTGTAGTTGACTACGGATTATTAGATATGATACCAAAAGTATGAGCAACAAAAGGAAAAGTAAATGGAGACTCACCAAAATTACTAATTTTAATGTATCAAAGGAGATGTCAAGAAGTTGAAAAATCAGCCAATATAATGGAAGAAAACACTTGTGAATTAAATATCTGTCTGGTAATTTACAAAATATATAACCCAGCTTAAAAATGGGCAAAGTACTTCAAGAGACATTTCTTCAAAGGAGATGGCCAACAAACACATTAAAGGGTATTCAGCATCATTAGTTGTGATGTAAATGTATATAAAAAACCACATTGAGAAATCACTTTATAGCCATTTAAGAGACCATGATAATAAAAGAGAAATTGCAATCATTCTACAAATAAATAGAAACTTTTGTGCATAGCTAAGAGCGATATAAAAGGATGAAGCTGCTATGGAAAAGTAGTTTTCAATTCCTCAAACAGGATCACAGGATGTAACAATTTCACACCTAGAAATGTATCCCATGGTATTAAAAACAGATACTAAATACTCATTCACACACTGTTGTTCATAGCAGCATTGTTTACAAGAACTAGAAGGTGAAAACAACCTGAATATCTATCATATGATAATCTCAATATAACCATAGAAGGAGACATTATTCTGCCACAACAAGAAATAAACATTGATTCATGCCATGATATGAATATCTATGGAAAATAAATAAAACAGTGTAGGCACAAATGGTCAAATAGTGGGTAAATCTGTAAGTCATACAAAGTAAATTGGTGTTTTCAGAGGCTGGCAGAATAATAGAATGGGGAGTGATTATTTAACTTATAAAGTTTCCTTGAGGAGTGATAAAAAAATGTTTTGGAGTGAATAAGAAGTGGTCACTGGGGCTGGAAAAAGGGTTCCGTGGCAAAGAGTGATGGCTGCTCTTCTAAGGACCCAGGTTCAATTCCCAGAACCAACAGGGAAGCCTGCCACCATTTGTAACTCCAGTTTCAGGTTATATGTTGTCATCTTCTGGCTTCTGTAGGCACTGTACACATTTAATGCACAAACAGATTGAGAAACTCAGATCTATGAAACAAAAATAAGTAAAATCTCCCAAAAGTGAAATGGTTATCGTAGAGACTTATGAATCTGTTAAACACAAGTTAAGCAAAATGATTACTTTTATATAAATTTCACTATAATTAAACAAATATTGCTACAATCAAGACTGTCACTGTACCCTTCGTACTCCCAGCTGCAGAAGCCAGTACAGTTTGCTGTTCATCATGTATCTCTTATTACTTGATCTCACAAGTACCTAACTTGTTCTAATTGGGTCCACACTAAGCTTCCTAGGACATTGCAAGGACAGAGCCCAGTGACATGCTATATCACACACTTGTGACAACAGTTAGAAATAAATAGTATAAAAGATCAGAAGCTGAATGGTTCAGCAGTTAAGAGCACCAGCTGCCCTTCCTGAGGACCTGGGTTCAATTCCCAGTGCCCACATGGTTGCTTACAACTGTCTGTAGCTTTAGTTCCAGGGGATCTGACATCCTTATACAGACATACTTGTAGGCAAAGCACAAATGCACATAAAATAAAATAAATAAATGGTTAAAAGATCGTAGTCCAGGTTGTCAATTAAGGCTTGGAGAGACTAAAATGTAAGGAAAGGCTTGATAAATGAACGTGGTGTGTGTGTGTGTGTTTTCAGGAAAAGAAAGAGGTCAGGATTCTGTAAGGTGGTATGGCATAGAAAAACAAATCAGATGAATGATGGTGTATTCCTACATATCTAAATGGAATTATGATGTGACTTCCTCCATGCCCAGTGACTTACAAACAGAATGGAAAGAAATTTCCTCTCTAGGAGTAATAGAATAGTTTTGTCTGAGCAGTCTTGATATTAACTAATTGATAACAATGTGTAGTTCAGTCCTAAGTCATAAAATGCCAGTTCGTAAGACATGAGAGTTCAGATGCACTCATATTCAGAAATCTAAGCACCTAAAGGTCACAGATTCATTTACAAAGGTACCAATGGACTTGCAGCTGAAGATAAAAGTTTGGCTGTTACCACTTTGCTGGAGACAAGCCCTATTTATCAACATCTCACTAAAGACAAATAGAGATTGCAACTGAGATATTTATGTGATGTTGGCAGTCATTTTTCGCTTGATTTATGGAGGGATTTTGGCTTGAGAAGTTTTTTTTCTAATAGAGCTGTCTGTGCAAAGGAGCTTTGTCCTGAAGAAAGTCATTAATCAACATATTCCTGGATTTTTCCACCATTTTAAATATCACAGCCGTGCACATGAGCAGGAGTCTGGCCCCAGAGCTTTCTTGTGTGGCTCTAGTGAGCATCTTCAGACACATTCTTTCTAGCCACCCAGGCAGGCCCCTCTCTGTTTCTTTGATTTCATTGTACCTGAAACCTGTGATACATTATGATTCCTAAGTGTTCCTACCACTTCTTAACATTAGGAGATTTCTCATCTTTCTTTATTACTCCAGTGGCACCTTTCCATCCCATACTCACTCTGGGACACCCTGTGGTAGCTCTCTTTTCTCATGCAAACCACAGAAAAGCAGAGAATGGCCAAGCAGAGAACAATACTACTCTGAAAACTCACGACCCCTATTGGGATGATCACAGGTATAAGGTCTTTATTCAATTCTTGTCCTCAAAGCAGAGGAAGTGTGCATTCTGGGACACCATGCTTTAGTTGTTTGAGGGCTTGGAACTCCAGGCAGTTGCCACAGAAACACTCTGCCCTTGGTTTCCACTCATGTTCTAGTGAGCCTCCTCTAAGGGTCTTCATCAGTTTGGAAGTTGGAGTCTCCTCTTCATCATGACTCCCTTAGAATCTCAACAGCTCCTATAATTAAACTGTCATTAAGTGACTAACACTCCACCCCCATTCAAGTCAGGATCCTTAGTTGGTATTCAGCAGTGATCTTCTGGGACAGAGTTGTACAGTGTGGCCCATAAGGTAAATCCAGCCCACTGTTTGGTTTCTATAAAAGTTAGCTGGATCACAGCCCTCTCATGTCTGTTCAGTTGTTATCTGTGGCTATTTTTGTGCTACAGGCTTCCACAAGAAAAGTTTGCCAACCTTTTCATACTTTGAAAATTCTGTAGGTAGCAGACACTTGTTACATTCACCCCACTCAACCTTTCTTAAGGAAGAATAAATGTGATAGCTCATATAAGTATAAAGTCATGTCAATTTTCTTATTTTAGGAATTGTATTCTGGTAAAGCAATTTTTTCCACAAATGGACACAGAAAACTATTTAAATGCACTATTTTACCAAATTGTGCCCATCACTTAAATCACAGGCATACAGAGCACCAGCATTCACAATGCCAACTGTTTTCTGTAGAGCTTCTGCCCTGATTATCTACTTGTTCTGCAGTGTTGTTATGTGAAGTATCAGTTCAGATACACACAGTGCTTTATTGGCATACATTAGCCATAGTACTGGGCTACATAGAACAATTTTCATACAAGTCTGTTTTGCATTTTCACCATGTTATATTACCTCTCCCCCCAGCCCTCCTTTCCCTCTCCCCCATTCCCAGTAAACCCCTTAGCTTCCTAGACGACATTGGTTCTAATTTTATGTCACACATACAGCTGAATTTATAGTTCTACATGGAAGCTGGAGTACAATCTTTCTAAGAAGGTTACTCACCTCGCCCCGATGCAAGAAATATTCTCTGCTGTAACTCTTGTTGCAACTATGTGGTATTGTTTAGGGCTTCCTAGCCACTGGCCAGCTCAGGGACTTTGCCTCTTTCTGGAAATCAACTCTTCCCTGAGTAGAGCTTTTCTTTCCACCACAGCCTCCTCAAGTATTCACTACTGAATCAAGAAGTCTTCTGCATCTAGAAGCAACTTTACTGCTTTATCTACCCATATCGATTCCAAACTTGAGATAGTTCCGAGCCTCTATGCTCTTTTCATACTCCATTCAAACTCCAAACTGAAACTAAATGCAATTTTTTAACTTGAAATTCATTTCTTTCTTTTCACTTCCCCATTTCTTCCTGCCAATCAAAGAACTGTACCTTCAGAAGTATTTCAGAAGTATCTATACTTCAGGAAACTGTTACCTCAGACCCCCCCCTCTCTCTCTCACACACACACACACACACACACACACACACACACACACACACACCTGTTCTTTGTCAATTATTCTGTGATACACACGCCCCAAAGAACGAAGAGTTGTATATGTCTCAGTTGGTAAAGGGCTTGCTCCACAAACATGAAGGCCCGAGTTGTATCCCCTGCACCAAAGTGAACAATGGGTGCAAAAATACACACCTGCAATTTCAGCAACCAGGGAAGCAGAAACAAGGGGATCCTTACTTAAAACATAATAACATCCCCGGGCGTTGGTAGCACACGCCTTTAATCCCAGCACTTGAGAGGCAGAGGCAGGCGGATCTCTGTGAGTTCGAGGCCAGCCTGGTCTACAGAGCTAGTTCCAGGACAGCCTCCAAAACAATGCAGAGAAACCCTGTCTCGAAAAACCAAAAAAAAACAAACAAACAAACAAACAAAAAAACCATAATAACATCACTCCTTCCTTCCCTGTCTTACCTCCAAACTCTCCCTCACACCCTCTCATATTGATGGCTTCTTTTTCATTATTGTTACATATAAGTATATAAATGCATCAATATTTAATTACAACTTGCTGTGTCCATTTAATGTTATTTGTGAGTATATGATTACAAGGGCTGACCACATTGTACTGTATAATAAATGAGGGGGTTATCCCTTGAAGATTATAATTTTCCCTCTCTAAAAAGTGCTAAGTTGCCTGCTGTTCTTTGTCTAGAGGTGAAATCTCATGAAATTTTCTGCTTCCATGTTATCATGTCTATTATCATTGTTCAAGTATTGTTTAGACAGCCATGTTGATCAGGCATCATGGGTGTAATTTCCCTGTCATTTCTAGGAAACACAAACTCAGCAGCAGATTTCCTGATCCCTTGGTTCTTAAAACCATTCTACTTCCTCTTCCATGATGTTCTCCAAGTCTTACATGGAGAAGTTGTGGTGTAGATATGTCAATTGGGACTAGCATCCCCATAATCCATTGACCTCTGTATTATGACCTACTGTAGTATTCTACAATAAAAAATTTAAAGATTATTTGATTGGGGTGGTGGATATTCCCATCTGTAATTTAAGGATAAGTTTAAGAATGCAATTAGAAATTATGGTGGTCCAGTAAAGAGATGATTTTCTTTCAAGATCCAACACTGCACTAGCCCTAGAAAGTTAGCTTCCTTTCTAGAATCAGGCATTTTCCTCCTATTGAGTGTGTCTGAAGTCTACTTAAGCATTTGTTGGTTATTATAACAAAAGTGTCAGTGTTGCACCTTGAGAAATATATTCCATGTCTTATGCTGTAAACCTTGCTCAAGATAGGTTTAATGACCTGGGACAGATAGACAGATATGTGAAGTCAGCGCCAGGAAGACTGTGACCATCTGTTGTTCAAACAAGTGGCCCCCTGATAGATTGCACTGTCTTTATTTAAATAGTTTTTTTAATGGTTTGTATGAACTCTTTTCTTTTTTTTTTTTCTTTTTGGTTTTTACAAGACAGGGTTTCTCTGTATTTTTTGGAGGCTGTCGGTCCAGCCTGGCCTCGAACTCACAGAGATCCGCCTGCCTCTGCCTCCCGAGTACTGGGATTAAAGGCATGTGCCACCACCTCCCAGCTTGTATGAACTCTTTTACAATTAGTTTTTACTTCCTAAATTTCTAAAACTGGTTACAATGATTGCCAGTTTGTTCCTTCCATCCCCCAACTTTCCCACCAGGAGCCATTACCTTTTAAATCTGTATCTCTACTGTTAGAAGCATAAGCAGCCTTGCAAGCTACAAAGGAAGTTTTCTAAGTAGGCACACCTACAGGTAGAACAATGCACCCAGTTGACAGCACATGTGGTTACAGCCTCATGCAGGGTGAGAGACAGGTTTGTCTCTTGTGGTTAATATTTATGTCTAGTAGGGTCTGGGTTCTCATGATCAGCTCATCAGCCAAAGCTGCATCAATCCCATCTACATCTGTACTACTCTATCACCGCTAGAGATATTTGTCCTATAGGCAACATAACTTGGAAACTTAATAGTTGGCACTGTTTATCCCTTGTCCTTATGTCTATCTCTCTCAATTACTTGGGGTATTGGCACAGTTATTAGAAATGATGGAATTATGTGTTTCTATGACTCTGCTTCATTCCCTGTTCCTAAACTGTTCCCATTAACTCCTGATGGCATCTATTAAGTAACATTTCTCAAAGAGTCTTGTGGATAAAATCATTCTCTCCAGAATAGTTATACAAATATGTAATATTTAATTTCATGACTTACTGTGACTCATTCAGGCCAGCAATGGATAGCATAGTGAAAGCAAGGAGAGCAATTAACATGTGTACTCCTAAGGTCATGCCCAGAATCACGCAGTGAACTGTCCACAAGTCTTTGCCAAGTGGGTCAAGGTCTCCAGAGTCTTGCCACAAAAAGAACTATTTGTGCTAGTCATAGGTCTAGTTCCCCAAAGAAGTCACATGGCTCCTGCTAGTTTTAGGGACACCAAAGGATAACAATTTTACTTGTTGTTTTGATAAAAATAGATTATGAAGTCTCCTTGTAGGTCAAGTCAACTTGACCTGACTGATGCCTGAGGTCTTGCAAAGGGAAGGAAATACTAGGTAGGTAGGATTGCATTTGGCAAATGAGAAATCATTATAGGGCCAAACTGCCTTGTACTTAATCATGCATCATGATACATAGTAGCCTTTACCACTAGACTATCTGTATGTCTGAAAGCATGGAAGAGGAAACAGCTGTGGCATTCTTCATTATGCAAATGCTCTGAGCTCTTACTGTAGGTACTAGGTAGCTTTCTAAGTATCCACCTGATTTCCATCATTTCTTGCAATGCTGCACTGTCTGGGGGAAGATAAGCTTTATCCTCAAGCCCTGTTATAAGTGAGCCATCTTTTCCAGTTTTGTGTCTCACAAGCATTCTGATAACTCTAAGCTTTCATTCAGAAATAACTAATATTTTACATTTTGAAGACTATAATCTAGTAGAGTACAGTCTGCATACAAGAGTCCTTTCCCTAGATTTCTCTTTCTGCGCTTCCATTCAGCAAGCCTCAGTCAGATATCTTTCATAGAATTCTGTCTTGATTGGAGGGGATTCTCCAAAAGCAGATTTAGGAATCCCTCCTAAGATCTTCCAGAAACCTCAGAATGTATGTACTGAAGCATATATCGTATCTCTTCTTGATTGCTTTTCTTATTCTAGCCTGATAGATCCTTTCAAAGGGGGTCAAAGTGCATGCCTATGATCTCAGCACTTGGTAAGTGGAAGTAGGAGGAGCAGGTACTAAAAGCCATGCTCAGCTACATAATGAGCTAAAGAACAGTCACAAAGTACCAAAATGAATGAATGAATGAATGAATGAGACACATTAAGTCTTATCCATTGCTCTTTTTTCATCACCTGGGAAATTGGTGGGATTTAACTAATGCTTGTTGAATGAGAATGAAGTAACAAGTTCTAGTTGTTAGGTTTTATAGCATACATCCCACAAACTATTTCTAATGTGCATACCATCTTGTTTTCAACACATAGAAATTCTTCTCCCTCAACTCTCCATTTCCCCAGTGAATAAGAAAACAAACCAACAAAATCTCTCTCTGTGTGTGTGTGTGTGTGTGTGTGTGTGTTTGTGTGTGTGTATACATGTGTGCGCATGTATGTGTGCATATGTGCATGCGTGTGTGTATGTCTGAGTGTGTGTGTGTGTGTGTGCTGCCTATTTGTACATAGAAATGTGATCAACCATATTCCTGCTACTCCCTTCCCTGGCATTTTTTATTCTCTTCTTTTGAAACTGAAAGATAAAATAAACCCCGTCTTCCTTAAGTTGCCATTGATCATGATGTTTTTTCACAGCACTTGAAAAATAAGTAATAAAGCATATAACTATCAATAATAGCTGTGTCATCTGACTCTTGAAGAATTCTGTAAAATAAAGAGTTCAACAATTAGCTTTGTATAATTGCCAAAGGAATGCAAGTCACCCTGTGATGAGGGTCATAGAAATGAAGAAGTATTCTCCCCAACATAAAGCTATATAATTTCATTCAGCAAATAAGAGAAATATAAGACTGTCACATAAGCAGTAACCAATCAGGAAGCCAACAACAGAAGCATCCTGAGACAAATGAAACTGCTCCACTCTCAAAGTTCTTCCCAGAAGAACAGATGAAGACAACAAGGCAGACAAAAACAATCAAAGAGAAAGAAGATTGACCACCACTCATGGAGATAGACAGATTCTTCCTTCCAGCATTGTTATGGACCCTTACAAAAGGCAATTCTATCCTTTAAAACTAAGCAATGCTCTTTAGTGTTACCATCTGTTGACAGAGCTGAGAGACACAGTAAAACTCACATCACTAGAGGGGCATCACATTAGCTACTCTCTGTCTCTTTTCTATAAGTTTCCAGGGCACCAACACATTGTTCTGACAAAGTATAAGAGAGGAAATGAATAAGTAGTTATCTCATTGTTCACATACAAATTACACTTCAGAGTGATCTAAATTTATCCTTCTGGAAATATTGAACTACTCTATAGAAAAAGCCCCATCGTAGATATGTGCTGTCATTTTATAATGCATGATAAAACAGTCAACCAGGATAATTATAAAAATTGATAGCAACTAAAACCACTGAGTGAATGACCAATAGGAACCTCTACTACAATGAGAGGAACTGCTGATTTGGCAGAGCCGACGCCCTCTGACCAACTTCCCTAAAAAAATAAATAAATAAAGTTCAAGCAGATATTAGGGTTTTCTATTGCAGCATATGAGGAAGAATATAGTGCCATTTAGAAAGCGGTCTTTCCGATGGGCCTTAGCCTGAGTTCACTGAGTCTGAAGATCTAGCAAACACTGTAAACAGAAAAGAGGCAGAAGAGAACTCAGTAAC